CCTGCACTGATTCCCAGTCCACACTGTCAGCCCTGGTATGTGCCACAAACAACCCATCCCAGCAACTCCCCTTCAGCTGGACCTGCCCTGCTGTACCATATCTGAGTGACTGACCCTGCCCATTGGAGAAAGAGGTGAAAAGTATCATGCCCACAGATGAGCAGACAACAAAGAATGCACAGCCTGCCTGCTCAGACATAACCAAATAAAACAAAAAAGCAGGACAAAACAAACAAATCTACAATCAGTAAACGAGGAAAATAATGACTGAATGCCCTGAAGACAGCAGACAATATCAAAACATTTACAAAAACAGGACAGGATGGTTCCAGTAGGCGTCCAAAATAAAACACCAGATGACCTTCCAGTAGAAGAAAAGGCACTAGACCTAACTGATAGGGAATTCAAATCTCTAATATTCAGAATTATTCAAGAGTTGAAGCAAAAAGCAGACAAAAATGAGGGAAAAATAGACAAATTCGTGGAAAAGTCAGACAAAAAAATGGAAAATACAGACAAAAAAATGGAAGAATTCAAGAAAATAATACAGGAACAAAATGCTAAAATAAATTCACATCATACAAAAACAACAATTAGAAATCCAAAAGATAAACAACAAGATTTCAGAAATGGACAATAATCACAGAAGGGATGAGGAGCAGGTTTGAAATGATGGAAGAAAGGATCAGTGAAATTGAAGACAAACACTTGGATACAACTCTGTTTGAGGAAAAATCAGAAAAAAGAATGAAGAAAAATGAAGAAACCTTGAGAATTATGTGGGATACAATCAAAAGCAAAAATCTACGAGTTCCAGAACGGGGAGAAAACAGAAAACACAGAGAGGATCATTTAAAACTGCTGACAGAAAACTTCCTCAGTATCATGAAAGATGAAAAGCTGACCATCCAAGAAGCTCAATGAACCCCATATAGGATAGACCACAAAACAAAATCACCAAGGCATATTGTAATTACACTTGCTAAAACCAAAGACAGACAAAGAATCCTGAGAGCAGCTCCAGAGAAACAAAAAGTCACATACAGAGGAGAAACAATAAGACTAAGCTCGGATTATTCAGCAGAAACCATACAGGCAAGAAGGCAATGGGATGACATGTTTAAAACCTTGAAAAAAAAAATTGCCAGCCAAGAATAATATATCCTGCAAAACTCTCATTCAAATATGATGATGGAATTAGGTCATTTCCAGATAAAAAGAAATTAAGGGACTATACGAGACTTATTAAAGGGAGTCCTTTGATCTGAGAACAAACAACATCAGACCACAGGCTGAATATAGGACACAGGATTGTACTAGCCAGATACCAGCCTAAGAAATGAACTCTTAAGGACTATGCAAAACCAAAAGAATTACAACAGGGAACCAGAGAGGTTAATCTGTAAATGACAACAGCATCAGAACAATAAAAGAGGGAATAAACGGTGTAAGTATAGAACCTTCTAATGGAGAGGAAGGCAAGGCGATGCCCAGTAATAATAGATTGGTTCAAATCTAGGAAGATAAGGATAAATTTGAAGGTAACCACAAAGAAAGTTAACAAACCTACTCATCAAAATAAAGAAGAAAAACATAAAGTCTCCGTAAAAACAAAACCTACAAAAACAAAAGAAATGAAAAAAAA